ACAAATGCCAACCACTAGATACTATGAGGACCCATTGAACCCACGTCACAATCTCATTCTGGTGCTTTAACACCCTCGTATTCGCTTACTTGTCTCTGCAGCACTAAATATGCTGTCATACTGAGCGTCGTGATCGTACTGTCATAGTTTCTCGTATTCGGAGGTACCAGGTTCGAGACTTTTCACTTTCCGAAGCTAATATTGTGAGAGTAATCTGAAAGGGGCCACAATTCAAAGCAGTCGCATTATGGTCTTCTTCAGATCTCATATGGCACTTCACAAACTCAGAAGTTTTGTGGCGTTAGTACTTCCACACAGCCTATAGTGTAGCTTAAACTCCTGAGGTTGAACGAAACTGCTGTGTAGGAGATTTGAAAGTCTGACGGCAGGTTCCTGGAAAACTACCCGTAACGCCTTCTCATGTGTTCATTTGTAATAACACTAACGCTACAGCCTTGGGTGAGCCTTGGCCTCCTCTACAACCGGTCTCCACTGCTCTCTGTTCCTCATCTTCTCTATCCATCCTTTCACCTTCATCTTCTTTGGACCGTTCTCAACATCGTCTAGCCAACTCATCCTGGGTCGTCCTTTTCTTCTTTTGGAATATAGTCTTCCTTTTAACATTCTCTTTGTCATTGCATTATCTTCCATTCGTTCGACATGTCCCAACCATCTGATTCTCTGTGACTTGATAAATCTTACTATATCTTCTTTCAGTAATGAGTTTATCTCTTCGTTGTATCTTATCCTCCATATATTATTTTCCATCACTGGTCCGTATATTTTGCGTATTATTTTACTCTGGAACATTCTCACTGCATTCTCTTCTGTTACTCTTAAGGTCCATGTTTGTGCCCCGTATGCAGCAACAGGTCTTATTAATGCAAGATTTGAGGCTTTCACGGCGGTGACTATGAAGAAAGCAGTCTTCTGGGATTTGGCACCGTGTATATGTGGTGTTAACCGACGTTTCGGAGAACGTATCGCAGACTGCTTTTATCGGTTCTCACGGTCTCTTCGCTTGCGGAATTCTTATATTTTTCCTTGTACCCTGAAGATGGAGGTGATACGTTCCTCCGAAACGTCGGTTAACACCACATATACACGGTGCCAAATCCCAGAAGACTGCTTTCTTCAGGTCTTATTAATGTTTTGTATAATTTTAGCTTGTTCATTTGTAATATTCATGGACAAATGACGGTGCAGTAACTGAAGAATATATTTGCTGTCTGTACAAAAATTAATTTACGATGTTTTTCATGCGACATTTTAAGATTTATATATCTTCTTTGTTACTGGATGCAGTCGTGTGTAACTTTCATAGACCGTTCCTCACACTTTGGAAATTTGTTTATTTGAACGCACTTTTCTTTATTCATCAACCGACCGCAATTTCCATTACAATTTAAATGCACGTGAAAGACAAATATCCTACGTCACTGAATAGACTAAAACAGACGTCTGCCATTTTCAGTTACAGAGCAATTTGTTCTTTCTTCTTTCGCCATTCTCTTCTGATACACTTCTGTTATTTGATGTTATGAAGCAGGCAACATTGTTTAACAGTAGTTGTATGCAAATCTGGTTTATCTCCAGTGATCTTGTTCACTCAGAACTTCAGAGCAGGTTGTGTATGTTCTGGTTAGATCGAACTGAACTCGACTCATGCTCTTGTAACTGGAAGAATGATGGGTGACTACTGAAACAAAAGGAATGACCATAAACGTGATCTTGAGTTCGGGTCGGACAAGTCCCTCTAGAATATATAATACAGCACTCACTAATCAGGAATGCCCTTCAGATAACTGTCTGCCTGACAAGCAAAATGTACATAACTTGCTTAAAAATACACGACCCTGAATAATTTGTTATCCATATTTTAGAAAGTAAATAAGAAAGCAAGAAAACCATTGTGTTCTTCATTCATTTCTTATTGATATATTATACTGAAATACAAATTACATATTTAATTACTTGCCAGAAATGAAAGACCACATTTTGTCGTTTTTAATAAACATTTGAGAAAATTGTTATGATTTATATCTTCTTATATTTAAATTTCGTTATAAAATTCTTTTAATTGTATGAAACGTTATTCTGAGATATGTTAATTTAGTGACAACTGCTTCCTTCCGAACTGTCCTTTTCATAAACAAATGCTCTGGTATAACTATGATGAATAATGAATTATATGGTAAATTTCTGTAAAATAAGACATAAACTATAACTATGAAAACTGGATGAATTTTTTAAACTAAATTCGAAAAATACGTAATGAACATGGAATAAATTAAACGCTTGTTTAATATCAATATTTGTAACAAATTTTCACGTTAACGTGGAAGATCGTAACAGGATTATTTAATTTCTTACTTTCTTATAGTACTTTTCCTGTTGGCCTTGGGTTCTATTCAGTCTCTAACAGAAATGAGTACCACGAATCTTCTTGAGGGTATAGGGGGCTGGCGCGTAAGGCTGACAACCTTATCGTCATCTGTGAGCCGATTGCCTAGAAAATGTGGGAGCCTCGACGTCTCACAACCCTATGGGCCTCCACGACCTGTTACAGGGATAATTTTCTTTTCGTCTTTTCGTGTGTAGATATAAGTCCGTTTAACTGCATGAATAGTAGTAAATATTCGATTCCAACTAAAATGTGACTTTAGCTGAAGTTTGTTAATTCAGTGCCACTGCCGGATTTAGTTTCTTATAGCCTACCTTCATGCTATAAAAATTGGGCTTTGTGTAAAAGTTTATTCGATCTAAATTTCTTAAAATTAAGTATGTCTCGGAACCGGTAGCGAACTCGAGGCTGGAAAAAGTGCCTGTCTATGTAGCTTTATCAACAAGACCCGTACGGTGAGGGATCTTACTGGCACATTAAATTCTGTCTTAATTAATGTATTTATTTATCTTCTTATCTCGTTCTACTCTCCGTTTGCTACCTGCATTCTTACTTAGGAAGTCATTTCTTGTGTCCAAGCAAGAGTGGAAAGTTGTGTTCTGATTTGATCTTAACATATTTTTAAATGCTTTCTTTGTAAATTTGCACGATGGAAGGTGCGGCTGCTTGCGACAGGGGTAAGTTAAACCTGTCGATTTAAATTATCAGACCGTTGAGGTGCCTTAATTTTTATTTTTTATCCTGTTCTCTCTGGGTTCGACTCAGCTTCTAACAGAAATGAGTACCAGGAATCTTCCTGGGAGTAGAGGGCGGACGGCGTACAAGGATGACAACCTTACCGCCATCTGTGAGCCGATTGTCTAAAAATATGGGAGCCTCGACATCTCTAGCCCTGTGGGCCTCCACGGCCTGTTACAGGGACAGATTTACCTTACCTTGCCTTATCGTAGCGTTAGTCACAGACAGGTCACGTCCAGATATCAGCGAAAAGAATATGAAGGAAATTAAGTAGGCTTCCACTGAAAAGTCGTTGCTTAGGTGTAATATCTGTTATAGTATTTATAGTATTAAATACATTGCTCCAATTCACCTTTATCAGACCTGCGGTGCCTAGAACGAGAGGCCTCAAACTGGGGGCTGTACGCCCGTTTCCAAAAGCCACGAACGTAGAGAATGGTCCCCAAGTGGAAGGGAGAAGAGAATGCAGGCAGTTTTAGCAGATAATCCCGAAGAAAAGACTACTGAATAAAAAATGGCGCTGTAATGAAGAAAAAAGGATGAAACAGGTCACTGAAGGAAATGAATTCCTCTTAATGAAGGATTGTAAGAAATGAAAGACGCAATCTCAGGCTGTACATAAACAGTCGTCAAAGGAAAAGCGAAGGGAGAAGAAAGAGTCGGAGGAATTTTAAATTTGAGGGATCATCATTTGAGATTTGAAAGGGACCGAGCGATGTAAACAAAAAATATCAAATTCACCGAAAAACTTGCAATGTAGAATTCAGTGCTAAATTTAATCAAAATTCCTTGTATTATTTTTTTTTTCGAGTTGAAGTCGGTGGACGAACAAACAGAGGCGATCAGTCTCTTCCGCATTTATTTATGCATTTTATTTGAAAAATTGAATAAAATATTATAAAGCAAGAACGAGAAAAATTTATTCTTATTTGATTCTCATCGTCTTGTCTTTCTGATAGTAATCATGGGTTCATGTTGTTTTAAACGTGTTAATAACGTGTGCTGAAGGGAAAATATTTCTACCCATGAGAGCTATGACACGCAACAAACTTGACGCCATCACCCAAAGGACTGTGGTGCAACCCTGTCATGTTTGCACTGACATTTTATCTCACCTCGCTTTCTCAACAAGATGAATTGTTTATTTAAATAATGTGTTGTGGAGTTGACACTTCAAAATGTTGACACCTGAAATGCGCCTTAGCAACCTGTCTCAGCAAATCCATTAATTTATTTTTTATATGTACACATAGCAGCATGACATCAGTGTCATCATATCCCGAGATTATCTGATATCAGCGCCTTAGTTTGGACACAAAAAATGAGATATAATTTTTTTCAAAATATTTATCATTAGTCGAGTGTTCAACATTTAAGGTCTACAATTAAGGTCCATGAAGAACTTACGCCGCATAACTTTTCAAATACACATTCCACGTGAGTCGATTTTTCAGAGGCACTAAGTCAGTTACATGGCAATTTGTGAGAAAAACATTGTGTTTTATAAATTAAATTTAATAGAGTAAAGAAAGTGTAAAATAATTTCTCTTACACGCAAGTAAGCTTTTACCGATATCACACAAAGTTCAATGCCACAGTACTCAATTCAGCAAAACTCGCGTTAAGTTAAATATTGTAATATATATGGCACAGTAAGAATATCATATTAAATAAGGAGATATTATAGTAGGCTGGCGTAATAGTTTGTTCTTCAGGTTTCCTCTTCTCTGATCTTTGGTTAAATTACTTGTCAGCTTCTCTTTATATCCAACCACAGTCAGCAATCCTTTCATTCGTCTTCTTCATATGGAGGGGTATTTCAGAACGCTCGAAAATCTACGGTAGGCAATCTACTTACCGAATCCGATACATTGACATCACATCCGGCAAGAATAAGCGCCGCGACGACATCGGCATGGCCAGCAGACGACGCCAGATGCAAGGCATTTCGTCCATTCTGCAACAAATCAATGCCAAATTTAAAATAGGGTAAAACAAGGAAGGGTCTAAGGATTCAATATTTGAAATTTGTTTCTGAATACATGTGTGCTAGCAGAGAAAGGTTTAAAGGCAACTGAAGTTTAGAAATTCTGTACACTGTTTTCTGCAATCACAAATATAGCAAGGATACTTTCGAGATAACGGTACAGGGGCCGCTCCTAACAATTATCCTATCGCAATTGCCTTATATACTATAATTTTGCCCAATGTCGAAATATTAAAAGAAAATGGTGGAGGTCTCGAGTTGTGGTGACCCAGAGCAGGTCTGTACACGACAAACGGGATTCTCAAACCGTCGACAGCTCCAGTCAGTCACGGAGGTATCCCTGACAATATATTCTGTCTCTCTTTTAAATGGCTGAATTCCGAAAAATAAAATTCGAGGATGAAAATACAAAACGTTATTTTAGAAGGACCGAGATTTATTTTATTGCTCTATAAGAACTACATCGAGTTAATTAAGATGGCCAGTTTATGTGCTGTGAAAAGGAAAGAACAAGGAATGACGCAGTTGTGGCCAAACTCGGGATAAGAGCGCGATATCCTGATGGAAACTGCGAAAATCATAAAACCCAGAATAACATGATTCGAATCAAGTACATACAAGAATAAAACTCAAACTCATCATTTTTTGTGCTAAAATGTTCGATACTTAATTCAGAGAAGCGGCAATACATAAATAAATGTCAAATGCAATCTGTAATGGAAATCGCCATACTATTATATTAGCTAGAAGAAAGTATACCGGTGCATGGAGCCTCAAAGTGTGGGTCTCCATAACCCGACCTCCCTCAATCAGTTTGCGATCTACTACAACAGCGGTCACCCAGCTGTTTAAAGTATAGCTGTATCCACGCACAATATATAGTGTAGAAGCTTTCGGAAAACGTAGCTACACACGGCGAAATATTTCGCGAAATTTTCGTGATGTACAGGTAAAATTTATGGCTTACTTTAGGTGTACAAAGGTTGTAACGATATTTAGGTTCCTCCTGCTACAGTATAGCCTAATAGAGGGATAGGCGGGAGGAGAAGGGTCACATAAATATATATTTAACATTTTAGAGGGTCGCGTTTCAAAAAGCTTGAATACCTCTGGCCTGATGGGTGCCTAATAAAACAGCGGAAAGGCTATGCATGAAGAAATTTGTTTTATATTTTATGGTTGTTAAGGAGCGCTAACTTCACTTCGGCTGGACTTGCGATATGAGACATATTGGCATGGATTCTTCACAGATAGGCTGTTTCGAGAACCAGTTCTTATCGGAGGATCTTAAGAACATACTTCTTGAATGTTTAGGGCCGGTAATTGTAATAAAAACCAAATGTTGATGATATCACGTGGAATCGATACATATTGTATGTTGATTGCTAACTTGCGAAAATGACTGTTATGAAAGCAAGATTTCTGTTCTTTATTTTAGGAACACTACACATCAGAGCTGACAGATTTATTGCTTTAAATTCTTTCTATTTTTGCGTTTTCCCGTTTAATTACTTCGTAGTGAAGAAAATACAGAAAATTGTACGCAAGAGCAATTCGTTCTCAACAGACCTGTAATCATCTCTGTGCTGTAATTTAATTTAATTTAAGTACGAAAAGAAGAGGAAGCGAGGGACAGAAAAGAACTTAGTGGAATTTAATTGTCTGAGCAAGGATAAGCATTACTTATTTTGCGTTGGTGCTTGCATCTCACAACGAATTGTAACAAAATCACGTCTCAGACAATGGACAGTGCCCAGAATGGTACTGGGAGCCAGGAAATCTCGGTACAGCGGCGGGGTAGGTATTCGATTCCTGACCTGAAAGAAACTTTTCTCTACTCCACAGCGGCCAGACAGGCACCCGTGCCCATCCAGCCTCCTCAAATTGGAACAGGGACTCTTTCCCAGGGGGTCAAGCGGACAGGGGGAATTGAAGCTGACCACTCGCCTCCATCCAGCTAATCTTACTTTGTTTGTTATGATCATGGCCGAGTATCTGTCCTGCCGCTTTAATAATGTTTGATTATGTCATGATCATCGTGCCAGAGGAGCCACTCCAACTTCGTACTTTTCAATTTCTTACTACAAATAATAAATAATGCGATAGAGCCACCCTTACGTACGGCCGAGCTATGTTGTGTGTAACGGTGAAACACATGCAACATTTTGTAAATGTAGTAGAATGTAAGACATCTCTATCGAGCGAAATCTGAATTTATATATTTGATTTGACGTCAATGAATAATGGAGAATTAGAAATAAGCATATTATTTGTGTGGAAATGCATCATAAGCAGACATAGTTACAAATTCCGAAAGAAATGTTCTTTAATGTCAACAATTACAAACATGGCGTCTGCATGAATATTTTATGTTATATCTGCCAAATGAACATAATCAGAGGCTGTACTACAGAAAAATTCATACAGAAATCGGTCACTAAATATCTAGTTATTAAAATGGAGTTGTTGCTAGCCACGCCAGATAGGCCGATACTTAAATATTTGAAGAAAATATGGATCGTGTATTCTTTCGAGAGCTTTTCGTTTCTAGTTTACACACCTCTTTGCATGGAATCATTACTCTCTGGAATCTGAACCTGATAGTCTGTAGTTGGTGTTAAGCCAGAATTGACTCCCTGTTATCACTAATTACAATATAGTTTTATCTGGAATCAGTTTCTTTGGATTAGAGAACAAGAGAAATTTTGACCCACTGGGTCTTGAAAAACAAGAATATCAGGGAAAATTCAGAATAAATTCAACACGTTTCTAGCTTACATTATCACCACGGATACACGCAATACCGCTTTGGGCTCCTTTCTTACAGATGGCGAACTTGTGAGGTGTGCCTTGAAAAAAAAAACAGAATAACCGATGTTTATNGAAAACTAAAAAATGTTGTGTATGCCAACAATCCACATGACTTGGAGGCTCTAAAACAAAATATTCGGGAAGCAATTGACAACATCCAGCAACGTGAATTGCAACAAGTTTCCCAAAATCTGTTTAAAAGAATTCAGGCATGTCTCACAACAGAGGGCAGACATTTTGAACATCTTCTATGATGGTGAGTACAATATTAATTACTATATTTGATTAATAATTAGCGGAAGAAATAAATAATGTGCGCTAACAGTTCCGGCCGCGCGACAGCAATTTCCTCGGCAGGTGGCGCATCGCTTTCGCATGAAGTTGCCGACGGTAAAATCAGTGTCGAATCAGCCTCGGCTATGAACACTCTGTATTTATAGATGCATATATGTTATTGATTTTTTTTATTGTTGGCACTTCTATTCAGTTGTTAATCATAGAAAGGATGATAAACAGTGCGTCTACAAGAGGTCCCGCCGCACACTGAGGACTTCTATTCTTGCAAGGTTTACTTCAGTTGTGACGAAACCGCCATTTGTTTGGGACCGATCCTAGTTGCAAGATGAATAGCCTCGCAGTGCAACACAACTTGTAAGAAAGATTATCACTGGCGGCAATTTGTCATGCTCTTTCCGTACGAGTATTGATATGAAAGCAACGGGACCAGGTTTCTTGTGGCAAAACAAGACGAGGGCGTTCAACTTATTGCCTTCGCTCTGTTCTTCCGTGTCAAGGTTAATTAATTGATGATTGTCTCCGACAAATCGTTGGGCGTGTTGTTCACAATCCGACGTTGCGGTATAGTGTTTAGCACACTTGCTTCATATTCTTAGTGTAACGTTTTCAAATTTCGGCCGGAAGGCTTGCTGTCCTTCGTTTTTTCCATCAGTGCACTACTGCCCCCTCTCGCATCCTTCCCAGTTTGTATTTAATAGTTATCCTGAGAGTCGGTGACCTCTAATCTATCCATTTTTCAAAACAATTTAAATTATTATGAAAAAGTTAAATATTTCCATCCAGTCTGACTGTTTACGATTTTGTTCTTATTTCAATTATTCATGCCCTTACATGTTTCGGTCTTCAGAGGGACACCTTTACATCAATACAGTTAGAAGTCACTATTACAGTACATGTTCTAAAAGCCAAAATTATACAATATAAATAAATACAGTTGGCTGTAAAATCTAAAGTTTTTACAAATACAGCGGCTGTTCCAATACTTTAAAATATTTATAGTTAGTTTGATAAGATTATTAGAATTCGTAAACCAAGCTGGTTCGTGCCGTCCCTCTTATTATTTCTTTTTGACGGGGGGCCGAACTTGTGTCACACTGTCGTTTTCGAGAAGAGGGTTCTTTATGTTGTCCTGTATGTGTTTGTGGCCCGCTGTGTTGCTTTTACTCACATTATTATTGTTCATAATATTATTAGTGTGACGGACCAGAATGAAATAAATTAAATTTAAATTAAGTCAAGAAGAAACAGATGGGGCACGCGGTAGTGTAGTTGGTTGAGGCATTATGCTACAAGTCGGAAGGTCGCGGGTTCGATTACCAATGAGGTCATTGGATATTTGTTTTTCAATTTACCTAATCCTTCCGTCCGCATTATGGCCCTGGGGTCGACTCAGCCTCTAACAGAAATCATTACCAGGAATCTTCCTGGGGGTAAAAGGCGACCGGCACGTAAGGCTGACAACTTCATAGCCATCTGTGAGCCGATTGTATAGAGAAAATGTGGGCGTCTCGACGTCTTACAACCATATGGGCCTCCACGGCCTGTTACAGGAATAGTTTTATCTTTATCTTTACCAAGATGAAACAGATAAGAGCAGCATGTTGTTCAAGATATGCCTAATCGTGACTGTCGTTTGGCCCAAAATCAAGCTAACCGAACTGTCACTTTTAGACCATATACCTGAAGAAACATCGAGAAGTCGCACGGGTCCAGATTCCTACCCAGGAATCACATTAGTCTGCTGTTCGTCGTCCTTTAATAGAATGTGTGTGTGTTTTTTTTTTGCCTGGCTTTGAAACTACGTCACATAAATCTGAATATATGGGATCTGAGGTTGTCACAGCGGTGACTCCTTATAGTCTGATAGATTTTTACCGACGTTTCGGAGGAACGTACTGATGACTCTACCCTGAGGGTGGAGGCAATACTTTCGTCCGAAACGTCTATATACTTGTACCAGATAACACGGTGCCGCATTGAAGACGATATTGCGAGAACATCAGACCGAACAAGAATGTTTCATGTTAAGGCAGGTGGTGCATATTACTTGCAGTAACTACTGTACTCTGATTGGTTAAGAGCATCTCCCTGCAGCAGTTCCATTCCCTGTGAGGTAAGTTTTTGCTGCCTCACACTTGCAGATAAGAGCTACATCTACAGCAGTGTGACTGATGCTGACCAAGGGGATTGACTATTTATCACGTTCAAAAACACGAAAGTCCGTTCTGACGAAGACAGACCGTAATGGTTGCCATTTGGCAGGTGTAATTTTCTAGCAGTCCTTGGGGGTACGTACCGTTATAATTATTCTCATGAAGGCGGGAGAGGCATTAGGGTGATAGTGAAGTACGGACCGATGCACTCCACGATCTCTGCCATCTCTGTAGTGTCGTTAAACAGTGTAATTTGTATTTACTTAGTAAAGGTTATAAGTGCAAACGAACTTGGCGAAAGGACATCACAAATTAATACGAAAAAATGACAAGCAAAAAAACTCCGTGGCTTTAGTCCGCAAGCGAACTATACCGACGTTGCTCTAAAGTTGGCACTAACTTCGCCGGCAAGCGGCGGTTTCTCGGTCGGAAATAATGGCAATAATTATACAATTTATATTACGAGTAGTCATAGCATTAGACATAGTAATAGAAATAATACCAATAATAATATAAGGCTTGTCGGATTTGAGGTTCTCACAGCTTTGACTGTGAAAAGTACTATCCTCTGAGACGTAACGACGTGATGACCGGAAGAAGTCCGCCGAGTTCTTCCGAAACGTCAGTTTCTATCGGATTACGATGCTTCGCATCTCAGAAATAGCACTCTTCAATGCAAAAGTCGTTTTGGATAATTCATAATACAACAGCATGTCAGGGTGATCAAGCGGTGATGATTTGTACTTGTGAGTTATTCCTTTCGAACCTAAGCCGAGACACCTGATATCCTGGTTGAGGCTTTTGCATGATCTTCCTCCGTACTTCCAGATAAATGCCAGTAGTGCCTCGATTAGGTCACAATAGCTTCCTTCCGAATCCTTCCAAATTCACCGTGAATCATACAGTTCAACGCTGTGTAGTTTAGGCAATGATAGAGTCGTAAAATAGCCCATAAAAGGCGCAAGTAAATGAAGCTAGTAAGTATAATACGCAATTAATGTTAACGGACACGAGAATGAAAATTTAAGCTTTTTACAAATACTTTATTATAGAAAGATTTTATAAGGAAACCCCCGTTGAAGAGAACGAAATTTTAATGATCCTTTGTTTTTTACGAAAAGCATATAATTTGTTTTCTGGTTCCCATTAATTAAGTGCCGCATTTAATAAAATATGAATTTATTATCATGAACTGTGGTATAGACAATATTTCTTTTCGTAAAAGGAATGTATTACGTATTTAATCGTTTTTCTAACTTAGTGTAACAAAGTCTTCCTCGAGAGGCCGATAGCCTCTGAAGTGGCCTTTCGTGAATCCAAAACTTCATTGCCATGTTCACAACAGCCTAACTCTGGACCTCAAGAAATTAATTCCAGTCTACAGATTCACAAAACATAAACAAAAAAACTCCGTTGCCTGTAGTCCGCAAACGAACTGTACTGACCGAGCGACCGTCGCTTGTCGGCTAAGTTAGTGCCAACTTTTAGCGGATAGATGGTGTCACGTGGTCAGCACAACGGATCCCCACAGCCGTTAATCTCGGTTTTCTTGACTGGAGCCGCTATTTCCTTGAAATAGCTTCTCAGTTGTCATCATGAGGCTGAGTGGACCCCGATCCAGACCCACTACTTCTCAGAAAATGTGGTAGCGCCGGAGAGCGAGCCCGGAATCTCTGAATCTGTAACCAGGTACTCTGACCACTAGACCACAAAAATACAAAAATACAAAAATCCTCCCTGTATTTACGCGAGACGATCACCCATCTGCCTTACTAATGGAGGGAGCAAGGGCCTCCGAAACGTCGGAAATACAATCTATATAGATGTATTGACAGTGTCATGCCATAGAAACAGGAATCGCTTCCTTGGTTTTTGTGCAAAGATGAATTAGGTCATAAAGCCTTTCCCGAAACTTCAGATTCGAAAATTAACTCAGGGCTACCAAGATATCTGTTTCCCTAGAACGGGATGCTTAGCCTTAGATTTGCTTCACAGATATGCGTTTTTATTTTTGCTATAAAGGAATGGAATTCTAGCTCCATATATTCTTAACATCGTCACTAGACGAGGGTGAGCTTCATGCACCGCCCACTTTAAACTCGGGGAAAGATTCCTCGGACATGATTTTGGCTTGGCCCCAGAGCCGGTCAGGACCCGATGATGAGAAGAATAATCCATGCCTCCAAAAATAGAAATTCTGACATATTGATTGCTTCTCCACACTTTCACTATGCCTATTATTTCCTCCTAGATAATCACTTGCTTTCTGATGATTGCATTATGTTTATGGTTGAATATGGTCTCTGTATTGTAGTCAACGGAACTCGATCCAATCTGCTGCACTTGTTTATTTTTTGTACTTTATTTTTATAATCCCGTTTCAGAGGCAAGCATAAAGAGTTCTTCTGAAGGAATTTCCATTTCGTATTCTGACTAGAGCACTTGTGGCCGGAGTTCTACAAATATATTTCCCGACTGCCCCATTTATTTTAATAGTTATTTGTGTTCTTCCTCATTTGATATAGCACCAAAATGAGACATTGCAAAACTGTTCGTTTCGGTTGATTAATTAGCACTCGTGTTTTGTAGTCTGGAGTCCCGAGTTCAAATCAAGGCCCGGACTGACTCGAGGTTTTTAGTCGTTTCTTTCTATGTTATTTCCAGTTCAGCGTTTGCAGTCGTTTTGTCTGATCTATAATGAGAGACAGAAAATGCCGTTAAAAAATTTAAAATACCAAACAAAGGCGCTGAAGCGCCTAAATGCGAGACTAGCGTTAACTTGTCTCATGTATGTTAAACATAATTTTATTTGGAACAAGAAATATACAGGAGAGCGTCGCACTTAGCTAAAGAATAGATTAATGCATGTTGCCTTTCTCAAAAAAAAAAAAAATACGCGTAATTCGCTTTTTTTTTTTTTTTAGATGCATTGCGTTTGGAATTCTGAAAGAAAATTTTAGCTGTCGAGTTGTGTGCGATCTCAAATCCAGCAAGAGACGAAGTTGAGAAAATTTCACACTTCAGCTTACGTCAAACTAAACTGTCAGAAATAAGGCTTAAGGAGTCAAGAGATACTTTCCCTGTTTCAAATGAAGTCGCACCATTCACTACGTGATGCAAAATATTTACACCTGCCCTGCTACCGGGTATATTAACCTCGATAAATAAAGTTGGACAAGGGGAAGACTGGAGACAAAATCTCTCCCAGCCACCTGCATAGCATAGCGTTAACTTGTCTCATTGCTTCAGTATCGACTGAAATCTTCTGGAGCTCGATTCTGCAGAACCAAACAAATTTCCGATGTAGGTATTTACCGCCCAAATACACTTAACTATGACTTATGTAAGCTTGAAGTTTTCAGAATGAATGAAAATATTATAATGTGGCCTCGAATACGTATATGTACTATTCGAAATGAGTTCACAATATCTGATCCACAAAAATAAACCCAGTACACACTGATTTTCGAAAAAGATATCCCTTCTCCTCCTGCTGCTCATACGATTATTACTACTGTGTCTAAAAAGTAAAAAGTAAAGGTATCCCTGTAAGAGGCCGTGAAGGCCCATAGGGTTGTGAGACGTTGAGGGTTTCACATTATCTAGACAATCGACTCGAAGATGGCGGTAAGGTTGTCAGCCTTACGCGCCGGCCGCGCTTTACTCCCCAGGAAAATTATTTAATTAATTCCTGGTACTCATTTCTGTTAGAAGCTGAGCCGACCCCAGGGCCATAGTGCGGCTGGAAGGATTAAGTCAATTGAAAAAATCCAATGACCTCATCGGGACTTGAACCCGCGATTTTCCGGCTTGTAGCATAGCCCCTCAACCAACTACGCTACCGCGTGCCCCTACTACTGTCCCTAATACCACTAATAATTAGTACTATTACTGCCGCTAGTGTTCTTACTAATGGCTCACCTGCTGCTAACATTCGCTTATTCCGAGAAATGGAGTTCCAGTTTCGTGACGTTCATGAAATCCAGAAACTACATCAAATTACAGTGCAGCTTAATAATTAGGAAACACTGCTCACCTCGTCCGTTTGTATTTTAGCTCCGTCTTCTACGAGGCGAAGGACTTCCTGTAGATTTCCTCTGGCGGCGGCTTCCCGAAGCTTCGCTGCTGCCATGCCCTCGCTGGCTTCATCTGCTGGAATCGCAAACAAAACAAAGACCCATGAATAATGTGATACCTCACAAGCACATACAATGATTTTCATACGATATAAATCTTTGAGTATCCTTACAGTTCTTAGTAATAACAAAACAATTATGTGGTGAGACTTATCTTATGCAACCACCCATACTTCATGGTAAAGTGACAAAGGATTTCAAATTGATCCTTTATCAGAATACTTGCAAAATAAATCCTTCAGAAATGATGTCTTATAAGAATACAAAACAACGCCCACTCTCATTCCTCAGCAGTATTATTTACAGTCGCATTCAATATCCAAGGCTAAAGCCCATATTCACTTTCTTTGTTCGGATCCATAGTCCATACGTTCGGAGCCGTACCTAAGTTGTCATTACGAAGACTGCATTGGTTCCCCCTGCAGCAGGAGGAGGACGAGGTTGAGCCATCTATCACGACGCGACTGAAAATTTGTTAGATAATTGAGGATTGTCTGCATTAGAATAACTATTGGTAAGTCTCGTGTTGAGAAGATGTACAGAGCGTTTCGCAGATCCCGTACCAACGGCTGAGCAGTTACAGCAGTGGGAGATGAGAGATTATAAAGCCAGAACACAAAACAAGCGTCTCTCCAGAACCATGGTCACATCTGTTCCTTTTTAGTTTTATGACGCACATTTACGTCAAAATGGTGCACTAAACGGTGCAGCCTTATACAAGTAGATGCACTAATAATCAATGCGGAAATTACTCTGAGAGGCATAATTAAAATAACTCACCAGTTTTAGCTAGAANTCCCGTACCAACGGCTGAGCAGTTACAGCAGTGGGAGATGAGAGATGATAAAGCCAGAACACAAAACAAGCGGCTCTCCAGAACCATGGTCACATCTGTTCCTTTTTAGTTTTATGACGCACATTTACGTCAAAATGGTGCACTAAACGGTGCAGCCTTATACAAGTAGATGCACTAATAATCAATGCGGAAATTACTCTGAGAGGCATAATTAAAATAACTCACCAGTTTTAGCTAGAATTGTCGCTAATGGGAAGCATTACCGTGATTTTAACTTGGGCCTTGTAGAATCGAACTGTATATGGATTGATTTCCCCCCCCCCCCAGAAAGAAAAGTAAGAATGTTGGTCATTCGTGGTATATCAGGTTCTGATGTGTGTGTACGTGTGCGTTATTTAAATATACTGAAGAGACTACAGATTCCACGGAGTAATGAATAAGATGTGGTAATAGCAAGTTAGAGGGATGAGATTTACTCTAAGGTAATATCCATTTGGAGACTGCGGGAACTACATAGTCCGACGCAACATTATTTCATTTTACTCAACAACTTTCGTCCATTTTTTGTAATTGACGAAATGGGCAGTACGTATAACATAAATGGAGGATGGCAAACGCATATGAAATGAAATTGGGAAACCCAAAAGTATAAGTGGTAGGATAACGTTAAATGGATTTGAAATACATAGGGTGTGAGGGTGAGCTCTATGTTAATGCGAAGAAGGGTAAAATCTTGCGAATTCTATAATGATTTGTCTTAGACACTTAGACAGTATAAGACACTCTGAAATTAACGTTAGAAAACATTCTACGAATTTATTCAGCTTTTAACTTTTTCATTAATATAATTTTGATTTATTACTAGCGTTATTAAGTATAGATTTACCACATTTCACAAAAATTTGTTAGTTCTATATAGTATATTACGATTGTGTTCCGCATTCAAGCGAGAACACAGAAGCTACTTAGTTTCTCTATGTTTATTACTGAAACAAACAACTTACTAGCGCTCAGTGGAATTACTGTGTCTTTCTTATAGAAAGCATTTAGGTGAATGAATGTAAACGTAGCTGATCTTACGAGATCCTGGGCTATAACTCCATTGAAACTACTGATTGTAGAATAGAGATATGAGATAAATATAAAGAAGTAAACAAGTAGTGTTAAGTTAATTCCCACGTGCTTGAGATTTAAGATACTGGGACTTCTCCTCCAATCTCTGACAGTCGAGAATCAGCCTTACACGTGTTATTTGCAAGCAGGCAATTTGAAACTATAAATATTTCAAACTGAATATCATCAGCTGATGATATAGATAGGGAGGTCCAACAAAAACACGATGCTGGCCAGCGGGGCGTAGTTTTCCCATCTGTGTTGTCTAGTGAGCAGTGTGTGAATATGCATTATTCCGTCTCTAGAGACCCTGGCTGTAGTTACGACATCAGGTTTCCTGGCACAACGGTGGGAAGTTCAGCAACAGAATGATTACAGTTTATTCTATTATAGGATGTTGTTATAATTTATTACCCCAATTTCACATGTCAGCAAGTTTGCAAAGAGCTGACTGGCTCACAGTACCCTCCAGGCGTGCGAGAGATCGTAGTACTTAATTTCACTTAACTACGATCGCTTATTCATGCAATTTTTGATAATGTGATGTTAATATTTTTAATTATAGTAGCAAATAACTTTTCGCTTCTCAGTATTCAGTATCCGTATTCTACTTCCAGTAAATGGCAGTTTTATATACGGTAATGCTGAAATAGCCTATCATTCAGGATAATGGCGGACTACAAAAGCAATATTCGCAAATGGTAACAAGTTAAATTTTTTTCTTCCTAACAGTGTTCAACATTAGCTTGTGACCAATAAAACTGATGGCTTTTTAGAAGTTATTTGCAAAGTGAAAGCAGATTTTACGTAGAGGTCGCTTGTGCGGTTTTGTCAGCTGCATGATTTCAGAGCCTAAACCCTCGGAAAGGCTTCTTTAATTCTCTACGGAAGACTTTTACAAAAGTTGACGAGCAGTTAAGATTATCAAACATATTGACCATGACGGATCCATTTTACTTAACGCCACGTAAGGGAATTTTTATGTTGGAAGACCATTACTCGAATTTTGGTTAAATTCGGTACGAGAACTTTGCCTAATTTTAGTAGACCAATTTTTAATTTTGGCGATATTGGCCAGTTATATACTCGTAGGATGATTCACACTAGAGTATAAATTGACTGTTTCATGTATCCCATAAACAACTATACAAATTTTGTGGAAATTCGATATGGAGATTTTCAATAGAACCTGAAGGGCACATCCGATTTTCAGTCTTAGTGATCCATAACAAGATCTTCATTAGGGCCACAAATTGACCTTTACAAACAAGCCGAAAATAAACTTATAAGATGCAAAAGAGAAATACATCACTGGGATTTGGGAATTTTGTGAGCCCACTAGCTTACCGTATATAGCCTTTCGAATGCTGTGTGCTATGTCAGCATTCTACAAAAGCAATTTAACAAAGGAAACTTTAAATTAAATTTGCAGAATCCAAATCTACGCATGTTAAAATGACTCCCGTAACACAGATCGTCAAGGTGATGATGTTAAGTAGGGATTCGGCGTGCCTTGTGTTCTGCGTGTACTTAACGTTTTACAGTGCTCTTTTCTACGGATGTTCATTTATTCAGCGCGCTTCTCGAGAAACCGCGGAAACCCGAAATAATCCCGTCATGCCGTCTGCCAATCTTATTACATTTATGGATAAGGATCGAAAGTCGAGATTTTTAATTTATGCAGAAGATTAGGCATAATTGTTTAGCACCTGCAGTGTATTATGTCGCATATTTAGCTAACAGAGTTAACTGTTCATCTCTGCTCTTGAGCACTTTTCATTTTACTCGTACAATTTAATTTAAATATTATTGTATCCTTGCCTCTAATATTCAACAAATGTTTTTGTTACGTGTTGCACTAATATACTGTAATGTTGGCAATGTGTGTGACTAAACTACCAGATATTTGGGTTCTAAGAAAGACGAAGTTGTCCTGTCGACTTCTCGGAAACTAGTGTGGTGTTCCCGTTAATGTCAATTTATGCCTCATACTCTCTCTCTCCCTCCATAGCTCTTTGGAACTTGGCCGTTTTTTCAGTTTTTTTATCCTATACACAGTCTGTAGGACTCCTTGTACGGGGGATCAGTCAGTCGCAAGGCCACTACCTACACACAGAACAATACAAACACAGACATCCATGCCTCGAGTGGGATTCGAACACACGACCCCAGTGTTTGGACGAGCGAAGGCTGTTCATGACTTAGACCGCGCAGCCGCTGTGATCGACAATATGAATTGATACGTTCTATAAATTTTAGTGCCTGTACCTTCCATAATAAACGTAATTTGAACCCATGAAGTGGTTTGGAAGATGAAATTTGCGGATGGTCAGTTCTCCATTGTTCTTTCACTTCGTACAAATAATTCACAGAAACAAGAGAAAAATTATCCGTCTCAAATTTACGCAAGCTGGTCATATTGTACCGCCCCTCGTCTAATGATAGGCACGTGCCGACTCTACCAAGAAGTGATTTAGTTACTGCATCCTCTGACATTATACACTTGTGAACAAGCCAAGTTCTGTAAGATTTGAGGCTTTCACGGCGGTGACTATGAAGAAAGCAGTCTTCTGGGATTTGGCGCCGTGTATATGTGGTGTTAACCGATGTTTCGGAGGAACGTATCGCCTCCATCTTCAGGGTATAAGGAAAACTATAAGAAATCTGCAAGCAAAGCAGTCTGCTTTTACCGGTTTTCACGGTCTCTTCGGTTGCGAATTTCTTATATTTTTCCTTCTACCCAGAAGATGGAGGCGATACGTTCCTCCGAAACGTCGGTTAACACCACATATACACGCTGCCAAATCCCAGAAGACTGCTTTCTTCAAGCCAAGTTCTGGTTACATTCTTCTTGCATATTTCTTGCTTGGCTTAGACAGTATATTCCTCTGAAACGTCGATGAAATTTCAGCTGACTACGATATGTTACATCCCAGTAGATAGCACCCTTCACAGACACCTTTGTGAGAACCTCAAATCCAATATGTAGCAGTAAACTTTTCAAGTTTTTGCTGATTGGAATTTGTTCCACAAAATCACTAAAATTTGTTCAGTACATTTCCAATTGGAGCTTTTTACATAAGTAAATATTTTCAGAAAGTTTCGTT